CACTTCTCATTGAAAACAATGAGGGAAGTTACCTCTTTCGTGCACTAATCACTGAGCAATCTGTTGAAAACTAAATTGTAGTAGTACTCTTCAGCTTTATGGGATAAATAATACATCATATTATGAAACTGAACCTTTGAGAGGTTGAAACTCTATTTAGAAGCTTGAAATCTAAGTACCACTTGAAAGGACTAATCTTTATATTGAAACTTTGCCGATATACACCTGCATCCCTGCTGCAGTCAGTTTTTCTTTTACAACACCGACCTTTCATTGATTTGCCCACACATTTGCAACTTTGTGAATCACATGATTTTTGGCAGTGTTGACCCTCAGCTCTGATCTGAAACTTTCCTTACCTGGTCAATAATTGAGTCAAGGGTGCTGAGCAGCAGGAATCCGCGTCCCCTGACCAGGTACTCCCCCAGTGCCACCATGTGGCTCTCCTCCTCGTCTTCCTCACGTGCCTCTGCTCTCTGAGCCACTGCACTGCATAGTTGATGTACGTCAGTCAGGAACTCCCTCGCCAGAGTGTTACTGGCCCCACTCATGTCTGAGCTACAACAGAAGAAACAAGACATCAAACACACACCTGAGGTACAATTTAATTCTTTCACACTCAACATAGATTTATGAGGTTTCTATTCATATGGGGAAAATAAAACCAGGATTACTGATGTAACTTTAAGGAAAACCAGTAGGGTCCAAATTAAACATAATCACATTCCTGCTTTGATGAATCATAATATGAATTCAGACATAGCAGACACTGATTTAACACATTACGTTTAAAAAAAAGAAAAATACTACTGGCAGTAGGTTGACAGTAGGTTGAGAAGAGAGTGTATTCAATATTCAATATGAAAAATTGCAGTTTAAAGACAAGCATGCTTAAGTTCACTTAAGACTTTATCTGTAATAGTTAAAAAACAATGTGACAAAATAGAGTAATCGTTGTAATAAGGTCAGTTCAATGGAGATGCCGGCATACCGCAACCAAGTGAGTAACACAACATAAGCAGTGAGATGACAGAGCAAAGAGCCAAAGCCTGCTCCGCTAAAAAGCCTCAGCAATATCATTGTGAAACCTAAATAATGAGGTTGTCAAATCAATGCTAGACTTGAGTTGCTTGAAGGTTAGAATACGACTTATCCTTACAACAAGCATTCATAGTGCGCCTCCAAGCCAGCATGCTTATGACTGCTATAACCACATAGTCCTCCAGAAGTCACTGACATTGAGCTGCAACTCTCAAAGAAGGCAAACAATTCCCACCTCCCCCAATTCACAGTTTAACACAAACGCATGCAAACACCCACCCTTTACAGGACAATCCCAATTACACAACTCAACACAATTTGTCAACATGAATTCAAGACGTGCCTCAAGAACAGAGCAATAACTAACAACACTAGAAAGCAACCAATTAACAGTTTTCACTTTCTCGGTTTACATTTCTCCAGTTGCTCTGGTCCAAAGGAAATCTACATTAAGAGTCTCATTTCAAAAGATCAAAAAATCATATTTGACCCTCTCATCAACAGCATACAATCATTTTCACCTTACCAAATGTTACTGGGCCAAATTGTTTCCTTGCACTCATCTTGTTTCTGCTTCAAGCCTGACCGGAGTTCTGCTGGCTGTAGCTGCATACCTCCTCACACCACTGCTGATTTTCTGTTCTGCAGCACAAATTCCATTAAATTGGAATTTCAAATGGAAGCTTTCCAGATTCGCAGCAGATCAGCGTATCACATGAAAGCATGTGATGTCACATGGTGAGGGGACTGGCCTTGGGAATACTGACGAGCCCCCAGGGCCATGAACAAGACCTCAGAAGTCGACCATCACTCACAATGACAACCTTTGTGTTCTCCACTAAAACAACTGTTTTGAGATGTTTTCTAATAAACAAAAAGTCTAGTTGAATTCTAGAAACAGCTTATAAGGCAATGAACTGCAAACTCCTTGTGACTTCTATTCGTTTTTTAATCCTAATTAATTCCAGACACAACATAGGTTACTAAAAATAGACAAAATAAATTTGTCAATATTATTATTTCAATGTTTATGCATTTAATGATAACTCCTTTTTTCATTCAATGCAGTTCTATTCTTAATTCTAATTGAGAAAAAGAGGTTTCCAAAAAATCACCATATTGAGAAGTGAATTCAACTTCTGTTGAAGTTTCTACCCCATAGATACATAATAGGAAGATATTTTCAGTCCTAGACAAATACTGCAGCTGCACCACAACACAAAATATTGATTTAAAGCAAACTGTACTAAAAATTACTAAAATGACTAATTATATTTGTAATATATACGTACACCAATGGTAAACACTTGATAACACCGATCACCAATTGTATTATTTGCAACATTTGCATTATGGTACATTGACTTTGTAAAGATATTTTTACAAATATCTGCTAATTTAAAAGAGGAAGGTATAATGAATTATCTTCTGAAACAGCTACACTATTACAAAGTATCAAGTGACACTCACAAGTGTTTCTAGGGACTTTGGGGGCCCCAGGCAAAAGGAACCTGGGGGGAACCGATTAATTGTTGTTGGTACATGTGGACTGTGGTAATCATTCGTCCTCAAAGGTCCCATTCTCAGCTCAGGCCCCCGGGCTGTTGCCTGCTTTGCCTGTTGTGACTACCATGGTGACGTTTTAACCGCAGTTAAAAAACCCTATTCAAGATGATTTTACTGTAATGAGGTCGGAGGATAATGCAGGCGCAAACCATGCAGCTTAGCATGACCTTACTATACCTTCATTTACAACAAACTCAGAGAAACACAACCTCCTTAATGGAGGTAATAAGCTCAGGGCTAGGAGAAATGTACAATATTATCAAAATGTATGATCAAAATAGATATTATAAATTAATTGCTAGCAAATTAGGAAAATAGAGATGAATGCAATAAAAACATTAAATATTAACAGCAATATTCTGACTAATTACTCCACCGGCTTTGTGGAACAATGCTCCCAGCTGTGTTATCACAACCACGGGACAATGATTAGAGACTTAGTAAACAGAGATAATGATTTCCATGATATCTTTTCAGTGGAAAAGAATACAGCATCTCACTCCAGCAGAACTCAAATTTTGTGTTCCTCTCTGACAAAATTTTGTCTCGCCAATGCCGTCAATGTTTAATTTATTCAGTTTTGCTCAGTCCATTTTGGTGTGAGAAAAAAGTTTTTATTGGGGATTAAATGGAACTTTCATCAATGCATAACCTTAAATTATTGTCCGGGTTATCTTACTTCCAGCTCATTGAGTGTGCGTGTCCAGTGAACTGTTTATATAGCAAAGCTGTAATTATGGGCAGCTGTGGCCAAAAACAGGAGGTTCTTTCCGTGCTCCTCCGGTCCACATACTAAAGTGTTGGGCAAGACACCCAAGTCGTCCCTGACTGGCAGGTTCCATTATAGTGAGTGACGTGTGAGAGCAAAATGCTATTCATAGAAATGCTGTATGAATGTGCGTTTGAATGGGTGAATGCAGCTTGTTATGTTAAGCGCTGTGAGTCGTTATTAAAGACTAAAAAAGTGCTATTTAAATACAGTCCATTTACCATTTAATGGTGTTGTGGAGCCAAATGTTGTTTATCAATGCTATTAAGTGCATTAATACACCATGTCAGTTTCTACTCAAACGATAAGGGATTATTAAAAGTGTATTTTCAAATGATTTTATTGACTGTGGAGTGTTTACTCCTGTAGTTCGGTTTGTTCAATCAATTCAGATTCCAATGTGTTTTGATGAAAATGTATAACACAGGTCCCAGACATTTGCGTATGATCTGTTCAGATAATCTCCACAAATCAACACTGCTTTTAAAAATCTTATAGTGTCGCCAATAGTTCAGAGTCAGCCAACAGCCACTAGGAGCATTTTGAGGAGAGACTTAGAAAGGAGGTAAGAAACTCCAGACATCTATATGATGTTACTTTGCCTTGGCACAGGCACAAACAGCCACTTCTGCTCGTACATTATCTTAACCTCCTCCACCATCGTCTGTTGTCAGAAACTTTGTTCTATCCTATAGTGAATGTGTTGCTTAACAATCATGTCAACAAAGTACGCATGGAAGTATGAGGGCAGTGACGATAAAATTGTATAAAACAGAAGTATCTGTTTTTTGTATATACAGTCAGCATTAATGAGCCTTCACTGTGTTTGTGTTGCAAATTTATAGAAATTAGTTTATTCATTCATCTTAATGGTAACTCTACACTAACTCACTTACAAACTGGCAGTTTGATAAAAGACTAATTATAAATTCTTGTAGAAATCTAATTTTAAAAAAAACTTCTGTATGAGCAGCCAAACTATCAGAGAGGTTTTTGCAGGACAATGGAATGTAGAAAGTGTGAGGAATCCATTGTAGTACAATTTCTACATCATCTGTTGGTAAAGTTATTCATTACTGCAGATAGAAAGTGCAAAAAGTAAAAACATGAAACATCTAATAGTTGATCTCAAAGAGCAAAACATTAACCTGCCCTGAGCTTGTCTTTAAACAAGGACATTATTTTAACCAAAAAAACCTTTTTCTAACTAATCACTTTTCAGCCTAAGGCAGCACATGGCTCACGAATGCTAATGCATTCACTTAAATTTAGGCAGTGTGTGTTTATGTGTGTGTAAGTGTGTGTGCGTGTGATTTATTTACACAGAATACAAACAAAAGGTACTTGAGGTGCCTAATGTCCCACAATTTTCCTCATCAATATGTAAATCTATGCAGCGAGGTACACTGAAAGCTAATGCACCCTGGTTACATAAGGTCTGCAACCTCTAATGTCTTGGTGGGACCCTGAATGGAAGTGATTATTGCCATCATTGTTGTTTGGCCTGACTCATGTTAAACCCTTTGAAAAACAAATGCATACAGAGAATGAATGCAGCTGAACTTCTTTTATTATTTAGTTTCACAGCCATGACTGAAAAAGATAATATATGAACAAATAATAAATGTACGAATATATACAACAATTATACTATTCAAAGCCGTTAAAGGACAGCAGTTTATAAAAATAAAAGACCTCAAATTTGTAAACCAGAGCAATAAACTTGTGGGACTTTCCAGAGTGAAATATTGCCAAATTGCTGACATTGTAGCTAGCTCTGGCTAATGCTACACTACCAGAAATCCCTTCGTTTTCGCAACTCTAAAAACAGTACTTTTCAGTGGCAGTACAGCGCAACTGCTGATTTGGAGCAGCAAAGATTTCCGAAAAAAGAAAATTGCAGTTTTATCTGGAATCAAATTAAAGGCCTGATGCATTGATTCAGGTACTTGCCAATGCCCGACCCATCATTTCGGGCAGTACCTAAGGCGTTTCTGATGCTGTTATCAGAACATCTCTAGTGGCATTTGTCTCATACACACAGTCAGACTTAGGTCATCGCCGCCCTAAATGACACCTACCAGAACTTCAGTGCATCTTTGGTGCTGTGGTTGGGGTGATGCTGCACGTAGTGGAAGAGACAGAGGAAGTTCTCCAGACTCTGGAGGCTGACCTGATAAGATATAGAGACACACAGATAAGACATGAGAGTGACAACAATAATCTAAGCCACATTATAACTTACACTCACATGAAGAGGAATTTCAATGGAACACCAACATTTTATGTGTTAAGCCTTTATGACATTACTGTCCATGATGTAACATTTTGTAAATGTTATCCATGATGGTACAGTTGCAAAGTGATGTAACAGTCATTAATGTCATTATGTGGAACAGTTGCACCAATATTGATTTATCAGGTCAGTTGCAGCACTGTAATATGATACAAATGCACCATAACCAGAAAGCACCTATTTATACTTTTAAACAAATCAGAAATAAATATGACACATAACAAATTCAGTCCCTAGAACCACAAGTTATATTTTAGCAATTTAAATAGTTTAGCATTTAATATTTAAGCATTTTAAACGTATGGCTGACAAACAGCAACAAAAGAAGAGTCCAGGATAATCTCTGAATCTGTGGAAACAAAGACGATTCAAAGATGGAATCAGCTTTGTCACAGTGCTGTGGTCAGAGCCTGACAATAGAGCTGGAATTTCTCACCGCTGGAGCTGGCGAGGCAGACACGCCACCTGACGGCATTTTACTACATTAGTGGTTCCAGGGTAGTGTGTTAATACCTTCCCAGCAGACATTTGATCTTCTAAGCCAGCGTCCTGCCGTCCCTCGCTAATCTGACACCACAGACTGGGTTTATCAGGCAATACTGATCCCCGACTGAGAGTTGCTGCACTGAGCGTCTAGGTCACAAAGCCAAAGCATAGACACCACAGAGGGCCAATCACATTACACGCAGTCCGACTCGCACCGACAGAAACATCTCTGTAGCATAATTTATTCAATTTATCAATTCTAATTATATATTGTGACACATTTTTCGAAAGAATTGTAGCTCGTACAATATTTCACTTGGTTATTATGCCGATAATATTTAGATTATTGTCCAGGCCTATTATAATGAGATGCCTACAGCAGTGTTTGAGGGGTTCACTGTACATCTGCAAACATCTAAACCTTAGACATGAGGGAATTTCCATTTCCTTTATCTGAATTACAATAAACCTGTGCCCAGTATCATGAAATCAAGATGATGTTAAACCATTGACTGAGAACAAAACTTTGATCATTGTAGTCTTAAGATGCATTATCACAAATTCTATCAAGTCATATTAAATGTGTTACCTTAGGTCCTCTGTGCAGATATTAGCATTGTGGTTGTCTGCCACAAACAAACTTTTTATGCAGTTTTAAGCAACTTTTTTATAATACACTTCAATAAAATTAATATAATTACTAACCAAATTATTGGATAAAGACTTGATATTTGAATTCAACAGCAATAGCCCTCTGACATCCATTTTATGTTCTCAATTCTCATTTCAGGATTTAAAAGGTCCAATGTTTTAAACTTTTCCAGTTTTAATTGAAGTTTGAATGATTTGATTTCCATGAGAAGAAAGATAAAAAAACCATCCCACTGTAATTTCCCCTCTCCTCTCATGCTTCTTTCTGGAGTTCAGGACTTTTTCGAAGTAATGCAGAGGCAGGCCAATCACAGGCACAACAGCTTTTAGCCCACTACTTTAGCAGGGGAATGCAGCTGGCAATGGTCAGTGCTGAAAAAAAATAGATTAAATCCAACTGGATTTGGCTGGATCATTGTGGGGCTGCAGAGCTGCTCCTACTTCAGGAGTGTCGGAGCTCACTGCCACTGACTCCAGCTCATTCTCCTCAGCTGTTAGACCTTCTAGGCAGACGGCAAAGTGCCAGTGTGCATCAAGGCCCCCCAGGGAAGCCTACGTGGCCACAGAAAACAAATACACCAGAGAGATGATCGTGCAAGTGGGAAAGCAAGAGTGGAACATGGCAAGTATATTACCAGAGGAAGGAAGCAATCTTTCTTTCTGTTGCCAGCAGACTTTGTGGAGTTTTGAATGAAATTGATTGGGACTAATGAGAGACCAGTGCTGATGTTAAAGCGAGAGCATGAATGGAAAGTCTACCAGCGGTGGCATGTACAGGTAAATATAACAGAAATATGTTTGCATGGGCAGCAGCTACAGAGACAAAGCCGTGAGGCTGCTCGTCCTTTTCCTGAAAACACAAAAAAGAGTCCTTGAATTGAAAATTAATAAAAATAGAGGGTTTGTATCAGGTAAAAACTTAAGGAAAAAAATCCTCCAAGTTTGAATGTTTAACATTTACAGGTACAGGATGAATACATGTATACGGAGCATTTTCATACTTTTATATTAATTATATGGCATGTTGACCTGCTTTGTACGCAATTTAGAATAAAAGATTTGTTGGTTGGTTTAGCTGAATTTATATGCTTGTAATCTGGGCTGATAATAGGATGTCAACTGTAAATTGGCACCAAAAACAGGAGTGAAAATGTCACATTTTCTGAAACGTTAACAGACTGCCTGGTTTGGAGTGTCTGGCCTCAGTGGTGCACTATAAGTCTCTCTTGGCTCCTCAAGCTAAACTAAGTCCACACTGATTTAAATATCTGCAGTGGCATAACAAACAAACAAAACCATTCTGGTGCCTTGACAGAGAAACCTTCTTGTTGACTCTTGTTGGGATCCTTATCAACTTTTGTAATCAAAACTTTCGTCAAAGATGTATCACCTCAATATTGTTAGCTAATTTGTGTTGTGTTCATAACTCTGATCTCTTTNTGGCTTGGTTCACTGAACATCATAAGAAAAATACTGATTATAAATACTAAGATTTATTATGAAACTGCTTTATTTTGTGTTTTTATCACTGGGTCTGTTTGTTTTGGAGAGAATGAAACCTCCTACCGATAATTCAGCTGCCATTAAAAACTTGCAGAACAAACACTAAAGGTGACAATGGTGGTCAAGACAACAACTTCCATGATCCCCACATACTTTTGATTGAGAAACCCTAAAATTACCCATTGTGGATTTGAAGGTCCCCAGTGGTAATTTTGTACCCCAATGGAGCAATGCATTACAATTCACAAACAAAAGAGCAGTGGTGATTGTTTCATGCTGTTCTACTGGTTGACAACTGGTGACGGTCGTGCCCAAACAAGCAAAGGATGTGAAGGAAAAGACTGCTAGTAAACAAACAAGGATGAAAACAATGCAGGGTTTACAATATTCAAAACATCAGCAACGACACCACGCATCTGCATTGACTCAAACATGGAATCTATTGGTGACAGAGAAGGTGACAAACACAGGAAGCAGGTGATGCAAAAAGACCTTTAGTAAATATGTCATCATTGTCTTTGTCTAGTTTACATGTCCTAAATAAGCAAAAATAGCTATGTCTATCTGTGAATTGTTTTCCCTCTTTATAGCTATAAAACAAGAGTGAAACAATCAAAGTGAATATTTAAGTACCTGAGGTTCTTTCACACTTTTGCTGCTAACTAACCAGGAGGTGACTGTTATATCAAAAACCCAGCTTGTGGTGAGTCAACTTCCTTCCTGAGTCACTATTGTCAATGCAAGATTTGTTTTTAATTACTTGCTAACACTATAATGACTAAAAGATGCACACACATATCATGCCTGCAACAATCTTGGCTATTTTCAGACATGCACTCACATGCACTTTTCTGAAATTTTACTAAGTGACAATGCAAATGTCCGAGTTAGTTGCTTTGGAAATCTTTTGGAGCAAGACAATGTGAGAATACAGCAGGAAAATGTCCGCAAAATCACAGCGAGCATTCTTGAAGACGTTTCTAACACACGACGGTCAGAAACAACTGAATTTACTCATCATGTCTTGCCTCCTGCATGGTCAGGCCAGGCACCATCCCTCGACTTAATTTTTACGGACATTTTTCTGTTGTATTAAATGCGTCTGCCCACGCCAATCTCCTGATGCAATCTTCATTTGTGAAAGACAAACTCAGGAAAGTGTCTGGACACAGTTTTCTGGATTTTTGTGTCTAAAAACAGCTTGAAGTTCCAAGTGATGAAGATGCAGAATGGACCACACTCACCAAGGTCAAGGAGAGAAGGAGAGAGTGACTGTTCACCAGCTGAGGCAACAACCCAACCAAGCAGAGAGGGGGGAATTGATGGGTGGGAGTCACTGCAAACCAGGGGGCTGGGCAACATCCCACACGGGAGATGAGGAAAAGGAAGAAAAAGAAATGCATGGCTCATGAGAGAGACAGGAGAGGACAGGGGAAAAACATAAAAGCTGACAATAACATAAAGATGAGAGAAATAAATGTGGCAACGGTTGAGAAAGAAGATAAACAGAGGGAGTGACTGGCAGGAAATCAAAGCCTCAAGGTTGCCTAAACTGTGATCAGTTTAATAAACAGGCCCTGGGGCTTCACTGGAGCTGTGCACTCACTCTAATGAATCTACCAAATGAGCATCTGAAATGACTCAAGCTTGACCTTGTGTTATCCGTTTACCTGTTGTGGCCATATTCCTCATATAGGAAAGGGAAACAGAGTGGTCTATACGATAACGCTAATTTCCCAGAAACTGACTTGTTTTCAATGACTGCCAGTTTAATCTGAGAGATTTTTTTCCAGCGTTATTTTTTTATTTGTTGAAAGAATAATTTATCAAGCAATGGAAAATTAACTAGAGCGGAATATTATCTAAAAAAGCAATTTAGATAGAAATTGTGATAACAAGACATGATTTTAGTGAGTCATTTCTACTTAGTTTTCTCTGAAAAAAACAAACAAACATAAAAATGATGTGATTTTTACGGAAGTCTGCACCAAATTAACACTTGGTTGCCCCTTCGGGCTGGAGAATAGGATCTGCAGGCTGGGGAGTCTCTGCAGTTCTACAGTGCTTCATTTATAGTAGTTTGGAAATCGCTCTTGGCCAGAGAATCTGACATGAACTTTCTGACTCACAAGCCAAAAATTCTAATTGGTGATAAGTTGTTTCAGAGCAGTGCAGAACCTTTGTCTCCCCCTCTGGCAGTGAGTAACGTCCCTGTTCACGCGTGTATGACGCCATTG